CCATTCTCCTTATTTTTCTTTACTTTTAGAGCTCAAATGTCTCACAAATGTAGATTCCAATATTCAAGAGAAGGTTGGAAACCTTCTGACCAAGAAAAAACCGGGAATTCGGACCTGGAAACAACTCGCTGTCAAGTATGCTATGGAGGATCATCTTATAGTTTCTCTTGAAAACAGTCAAGAGACAGCCGGAAGAGAAGTAATCGAGTTCCTAGCAAAGTCATACCCGAAACTTACAGTGTATGAGGTTTGCAAGGAACTTAAAGAAAAAGACATACGACGTTTGGACATTGTTGAAGTATTGCTAGCTCATCTTTCGGTTCCAATTTCAGGCGGTGACGTACGTCTATAGAGTTTTTTTTACGTGATATTGTTTTAAATGTAATGTTTAAAAAAAGGGTCAGTTGTTGATAGAAGTTCTTAGGTCGCGATCAATTATGGTCTCTAGGAGAGTTAGTGACGCTCTTGAATGCAGTGATGCAGTGCATCACATCGACAATTTCAGGGTCTGTGTGACTTATAGATCTTGATCTATAAGCAATAATTTAGTATCAAGGGAGGTTGTATAATTTTAAATGTTTCCTTGAGTAGTTTATTTTTATGGGACCTTGTCAACTGGAAAAGATGTTGACTAAAATTCTTATAGTCCTTTATAGACAAGTAGATAATTTGGAAACGGTTACATAACAAGTGTGTTAGAGTCAACGGACTGCATTGATAGGGAAAATATGGATTACTGTCTCAATTTTTCTCTATATTTTTTGTATTTATAGAGTTTTCAAGTTTTAGCGATTTAGTCATTGTTTACTGAGTAAACCATATTCAGGAAAACTTTCTTATAAGAGATTTCCGTCCATACTTGATAACGTGTATTTCAGATTTCATAGATGAACAGATGAACGTATTATACATGCACAATTACGACTGATTTTTGTATCCAAGCACATTTGTATAAGCTTGCTTTGAAAGCACGCGTACATGTTGTCTTCAGCTATCATAAAAATGTTCCTGAATTTTGATGTAAGTTGCATTTTACATAAGCTGGTTGTGGTAGTATTATTGCGGGCAATTTTTAAGATCCAACTGCGGAATTTCGGAATTTCTGTAGATTACCCTTGCAACTGAGTGGTCATTAACGTGTGACGTTGTGTGACGTTGTTGCGTCAAGTTCAGCCATAAACTTACATAGTGTTATCCGGATTTATTTAATAATGTTAGAAACTTTGACATAAATTGACACCAAAATAGGCACACATGATCTACTTTTTGAAATAGCAATTATTTAAGAAGTGAACGTACAGAATTATTGTCAAAAACTTTTGAAGCTGCTGTAGATTTTTTCTTTATTACAATTATTTATCGAATATAAACTGCAATCATTCGAATGCGTGGAGATTCACCTTCATGACCTTCGGTTCGCATGACAACAAGGGGTTTGGGACAGAGGCCGCTAATGGTACAATCCATGATCGTTCTCAGTGCCTTTTGAGCTTCAGTATCACTATTGATAGGCGAATCTTTTTGTTATATTTATTCTAATTTGTCGTAGGATTATCGTACTATTTACTCAACACATACTCTTTGTTTAACCAAATCAGGCAATAAAATTGCTGCTATTTTTCTGTATCGTGTGTCTGGCTTTACAATTAAATTAGGAAAACATTAAACTGGAGGGGCTGCACATTCAACGAATTATTCTTTGAGCGAGCGTGGAATGATAGAATGCAAGGTGAAAGACAAAACACAACCTTAATTAGTTGTCTTGACTAGGTTGAGGAAAATTAGGGTTAGCTCTATCGAGTTGACTTCATGGGCGTCACAACATGCCTCGACAAGACGTTAACAACATCCATCCGTCTGAGTCCAGACTCCTTAAAGGTCTTACAGATGAAATAAACAGAGATATTAGGCGAAAGGGAGGCCAGACTCTCCAACATAGCTCCTGCTGGGTTTTTTGCGCTTTCTAAAAAGGAGATTTCCTTTTCTCTCATTCCATACCTTCGTGCCACTTGCTTCCATGACGCCAGGCCAGGAAGGCGCTTCTTGTTAAGCAGGTCGATGATGGCTTGTTTTGTCTCCATGTTTATCTCATGTAAACCTCTAAATCCTATATAAAGATCAAAATAAAATGAGTGGTTAGAGGTGAGTTTATGTGGGGGGATTTAAATGTCTGATATAATGCAATTTTGGGATAACTTGTTCATCCATTCGGTTATTCATGAATTAACACAAAGAATTAGGGATAATTTGAATCCTCGTCTTTCGAATGCCATTTTGATTGCCTTGTTTACATGAAGTCGGTTCGAATTCCTGTTTGGTTGTCATTAAAAAGCCTGAAAAACTATGTTTGCACAAAATACAAAATTGACAAATGCTTCAGTATGAAAATGGTTTGTTTGGTATGACGAGGCGTTTCGTCCGCTCAAAGTCCCTTTCGCAAAGTTGAAGGCGTCAGCATTCTGACCCTCAGTCACAAACAGTTCTCAACTGAACATTCACGAGTAACATTCATATAGCAAATGCAAGCCTTCCTTAATCTCTGCCCTTTTCAGAGGATTTATCTTGTAAATGTTCTCTAACTCCTTTTTCCCTTTTTCTGTTTTCTGTTTCAACGAAAAAACAACAGGAAAAAGTACTTACTCATTCCAGAAGCAGGAAATACATCGACTTCAGCGATATCTGAAGTAACAGATCCACTCTTATCCCACACACGACAAAAGTAACGTCCAAAGTCCTCCATCCTAACTGAGCTCAGCACCAGGTCCGAACGATTGGCTCCAGGGATTTCAATGTCGTCCTTAACCCAACGATAACGAATATCCGGTAGACCCCGGGTTCGACAACTCAGCACTAATGTTTTCCCTTCCTGCACGGCTTGAGATTGAGGCATTTGAATAATCTCTAAACCTGGATCAATAGAAAAAAAAATCAGCAGAAAGTTACCTCACCGATTCACTGATCAGTGCAATGTATTTTAAAAATAGATGCTTGATATTCCAAAACATTACATAGATATATTTAAGTGTCGTCTGACTGAGATTGAAAGTGTTTTTAAAGCATTTGATGTATACAAAACTTTTTCTTGCTGATAAAGCTAGTTCAAAATACAATCATTAACCTCAGTGCCAAGGTGAAAGGATTCAGCGTTTCACTAAAAAGAAAATATCTCTATGGGGTAAGTTTAACAGTTATTACAGGAAGATTTACTCAGAATATTTACACTGATATTAACTAAAATATAACATTTATTGTATTGCTATTATAATTTTCACAAGAATCGTGCACATTACTAACTAACACCGAAAATCCAGGACTTACTTGATTCGTCAGGCTCTTCCTCAGACTGGTAACCAGAGCTCGCTCCCAAAGATATACCCGAAGAGGTCCTGGGTCGAGATGGAGGTTCGACGTCATCTGAATGAAGAGGCAAGGCAAAACAGTGAATATATTCATCAATAACTTTATTCATTTCAGTGCAGTGGTTTTTGTTTCTGAAAGGAAACGAGAGCATCTAACGAAAAGAAACGATTAAACTTTTTCGTAACGTAACGTTTGATTTTTTCTGCTTGATGATTGATAACCTTAATATAAGTCTACAATATATGAACCAAAACTAAATATTGTCGCTTTAACGGTTTAATTTCTCTTTCTGTAAGAGAGTTACCAGACTTTTATGCATGAAATTTCTGTCTCAAAGGAGAGGCCACAACCTCGTCTTGCTTGCGCGGCTCTGTGAATACCCCAAGGATTTGTCTAAGGCTCTGCCCAAAGGGAAAGTACAAGGAATAACTAGCTAGTGTTTGAGTTTTTTGCTACTCACATAATTAATTCAGTTTACACCTCAAGGAATGATTTACTTAAAACTAAAAATTAATTATTATCAATCTTTTTATCATCAACCTGTCACGTCTCCTTGAAATCGCCCAAGTTCCTTCTCCTTTTTCTTCAACTTTTGCTGCAACGATTCGTTTTCTTTCTCCAGCTCATGCACTTTTTCACGCAGCTCCAGGAGATAACTCTCTAACGCTTTAATCTCATCGGTCTTTTCCCTGGTCAAACTCTTTAACTGGAGACTTTCATCTTTCCCATCATTTGTTCCATGAACATTTGCGGGCTCTGAACTTTTTTCCAGTCGCCTGTTTTCTTCTTGAAGCTTTTCAATGGTTCTTCGCAAGCCCTTGGAGATTGTCATTTCTCGTTTTAATGTTTCCTTAACACCGCTCAGCTCCTCCAATATAACGTTAGATTTCTGGAATCCATCACTATCACTTACGTGTAAGTCGTTTGCTCTTGTTGATCCCTCCAAGACCTTCTCCAGCTCTTGTAACTGATACAAAGGTTCTCTAGTTCTCGGATTCTCGGGCCTTCCAGTTTGCTGAGGAGCATTCACTTGCATTTCAAAGAGTTTGTTGATCATGTCTGCGAGTTCTTTATACCATTCACGCCAGTTTTCTAATGAGAGCGTTTTTCTCTGGGTGGCATGTCTCTCTCTGCAGTAAACATATTCAGTTATCAATCATTCATGCCTGCATTTATTAATCTATCCATTAATTCATCATTCACTTGTTTGTTAATTCCTTACTTGTGCGTTAGTTTCCTGCGCCGAAATCAATTGTGAAAGCCAATCTTTGACGAAAACCATCCGCACAATTACGTAACCACAGTGTAAAAATTTTTAAATTGAATCTTTGTTTAATTTTGGTCATTTTGCAAGTGGAAATGAGGATCCAACTTCACAACGAAACAATTTTTCCCCGAACTTAAACCGCATAGCGCCCCCCAATTAACTCTTTCACTTCTTTGATTTTGACAGAAATATTCCTTACAATCTGCCACACATTTCGTACAGAGTTAGTTCTAAGAATTTGGTGTGAAATCGAATAATATTCCTCGGTTGATGTTTCTTTATTCCCACCACCTGTTTGCTTTAAAGTGTGTTCACATTGCAAAGAGAAAGTACCTTCTGATCACTATAGGAAGTCAAAGTGTTAAATCCTTACCTTATCTCTGTTGCTTCCTTGTTCACCAATCCTTCATTCTGAATAACGACTTCTAATTGATCATTAAATCCAATTTGTTTGAACTCCTTTTCCAATCTAAACTTGATTGTTTTCGACTCATAGTCTTCCAGAAATAACAACAGACTCATCTCTGAGTGACATTGCAATTCCACCAAGATGGAATGTCCATCTGTAATATTAGTAACTTCAGGATCCACATCGCTGAATAGAGTCCTTTCTAAGGCTCTTTTTATGGCACCCTCCGCGGGCCCCTTACAGACGAGGTAGAAAGCACCTAGCGATAATGCACCAAGGCTCACAGCTCCTGCTAACCAGGGGTTGTCAATCTTGAGTGAAATAGAAAATCCTGCTCCTGACAGAGACAAATCCATTGCGGCCCTTGTCGCTGTTTCCACAGCTGCGTTGGAGATTACTCCGTCCATCTTATACTTATAGAGACTGCTTGGTCCTGTTCGTTCAGCGATTTTTCACTTGGATTCAATTCTACAGAATTTGCATACATTTTAGACGTTACCCAGTTCAGCTTTCGCGCTTTTCTCAATGGAGGCAACTTTGAAACAACCCATCCCTGAAAAATTTCGATGTTTACATACTGTGACAAGTTAATTCCGGTGTCACGCAATCATTTAAAGGACTCTGA